CCACACATATGGAATAGTTTTTGCAAATCTACTAAATGACTCGCATTTAATCTAGAGATAAATCTCCATTAATTACGTCAGACTTGTTTGGTTAGATATGGTTATCACAATTTAATTTATTATGATCATGTAATATTATTTAAATAATATTAATTGTATTTCATATCCTATACTAGGAATGTTTCAATTTGAGTCGTGCCTTGATTAAAGCCTTTGCAGTTCTTGAGGTTCATAATGGGAAATAGCACAACTGAAGAACTTAATGGCCAGTTCAATCAAAGTAAAATTCGTGCATTCGGGGTAATTTCTAGTCTTGTCAAACAAGAGCTCAAGCACAAACCAAGGTATTTGGTTTTCTGGCAATAATAGGTCATGATAAATGACTTGAATCATACCCCCTAAGAAGAGTACAGACTTATTTTCTCGTGTAGATAGCTTCTTAGCATTCTTGCAGAACAACTCGATAATAAAGCAACCAATTGAGTGGCAAAATTTTCTCAAATTCTTCTTTGGTCACATCCATATTGTCTCTCTCATTAGTGGCCATAGATTTTCGCCCACTGATTAGTACCCTCACTGATTAGTCATTTCAGATATTGATTGTCACATTTAGGTTCAATCTTTCATTTCTTTTAAACCACACATATGAAATAGTTTCTTAAAATCCACTCAACGACCTGCATTTAATCTAGAGATAAATCTCCATGGACTGCATCCAACTTGTTTGGTTAGATATGGTTATCACAATTTAATTTATTGAGATCATGTAATATTGTTTAAATAATATTAATTGTATTTCATATCCTATACTAGGAATGTTTCAATTTGAGTCATGCCTTGATTAAAGCCTTTGCAGTTCTTAAGGTTCATAATGGGAAATAGCACGACCAAAGAATTTAATGGCCAGCTCAATCAAAGTAAAATTTGTGCATTCGAGGTAATTTCTGATCCTATCAAACAAGAGCTCAAGCACAAATCAAGGTATTTGGTTTTCAAGCAATAATAGGTCATGATAAATGACCTGAATTACACCCCCTGAGAAGAGTACGAACTTATTTTCTCGTGTAGATACCTTCAAAGCATTCTTGCGGAACAACTTGATAATAAAGCAATCATCGAGTGGCAAGATTTTCTCCAATTCTTCTTTGGCCACATCCAAATTGTCTCTCTCATCAGTGGCCATAGTTTTTCGCCCACTGATTAGTCATTTTCAGGTATTGATTGTCATATTTAGGATGGATCTTTTATTTCTTTTAGACAACACATATGAAATAGTTTTTGCAAATCCGCTAAACAACCCGCACTTAATTTAGAGATAAACCTACACGGCCTACGTCAGACTTGTTTGATTAGATATGGTTATCACGATTTAATTTATTGAAAACATATAATATTGTTAGAATAATATTAATTG